AAGGAATGACGAGTATTTATAAAGATTTTTTTTCTCATTCACTTTCGTTACGATAACTCAAGAGTTCTCAAAACTTATGGGTAAACTTAGGAGGTGAAGAATATGTTAATTGAAATACAAACAAGTTTATTAGAATACAAAAAAGGTAAAAGCGATTGAACTCATTAGCATCAAAAGGATGTTGGATCGAATAAAAGAAAATTATAAATAAAAAAAAAAATCTTGTCCGATTCCACATCATTGAAAAATGCTTCATCGAAAAAAGTTCTCAGGAAAACAAATGTTTATTTATTTTCGAAAAAAATAAACGAAACAAGTTTAAAGTCAAAATAGAACAAAAAAAAACTCGCTTTACGTGTGACCTTAACCAGAGCGATCTATGCAAATTTTATTACAGCAATCAGGATAAGACAACTTCACATCGGGTCCGAATCGTTTGCATTTGTCTGTTCTAAATGGGCTGCAACTGTAATAAGAAATAATATTAAGTTAATAATATGTTCACTTAGTCTAATGGCTGAATTGAGAAAACCTTTCGAAGGACAATGAAAAATCTTTGTTGCACTTTGTAAGTTCACAATTTTCAGTGATTTGCTGTCCTGGAAGTATTTTCTTTCCATTATTGTCGCAATAATCAACGCATGTTCCTGATGAACAGTCTATAAATATTTATTTCAATTTAAATTCTCATGAGACATTATTTGCAATCAAAGTTAAACTCACCGGTAGTTTTACTTGGTGCTGCTTGACCTACAGCCCCATTTACGACATTATAAACAGAAATCAAAACGAAAACAAATAGAAACAACTTCATTTTTATATCTTATGCTATTTCGACTTCCTTTCGGGAAATTCAACAGAAAAATGGAGAAGAATTGTTCAGAACAAGCGATTATAAAGATTCTGTTTTTGTTTGCATTTTAAATCAGAACAACTGTGAGCATGTAGATTAGAAAAAAATATTTTGGTGCTTTAGTCTTAGTTCTAAGCAGCTTATTTAACCTTGTTGTCTGGTAGTAACCCGTTTATTGTTTATGAACATCTTCATTACTTTGAGAAAAGTTTGCTTAACACTTACGAGACAAATATTGATAAGTTTAAAGGTTCTGGAAGATGTTTCACAAAGCTTTAATTTTATATTCTACAGATATGAGTTATTGATTGAATGCCATAAATGTAAGTTGTACACGTATTGATGCCACAAGATATGCTTAGATCAATTCAAGTGTCTTCTTAGAAGCTGACAGTGAATCATTTGTTGACACAAACCTGTTTCTATGTTAATTAGTTGAAAGCTTTTGAGCTTTACGATCGTTTGTAGAGAAACGAATAGTTTCAGAATACATTTAAATTGAGACATAAATTTTTGATAGAAATTTGAAGCTTTCATAGAAAAGCTGCTTAGGATGAAAAGGTTTGAAATTGCGTTTAAAAGTAAACAATTAAGCTTTCATAGTTCAAAAGTAATTTCAACGACCCCGTAATCAATATTTGCTTTATCAGCTGTAATTTTAATCTTGAAGTTCAAAACTTTAATCTTACTAATTTCTGTAGTTTGATGTGAAGTGATTTAAAGACCAGTTCTGTCCTAAATCTTGTCCAATGAAGACGAAATAAAACTTTAAAGCTTTTTTCGATGGTGTAAGAGGTTTAAAGATGATTCAACTTAACCATACCCAAATTGCTGCTCAGCGATATGTGCTGAGCTACATTGCGGTGCCACCACATATGATGATGGTTTAATCTAAATTGTTTATTCTCCTCTAAACTTAAACCTGTTTAGAATGTTTAAAAGAAAACACGAAATTTCATCTTCTATGATTTTTAATGCTTGTTTCGCAAACTTTCGTTTCTAATGACCCAGACATCAACTTAATTTTATTCCATTATCAGTTGAGAAATTAATATGCAACTACGAAGTCAAATTTAATTTTCATAATGTGAATCGCCAACAAATCAGAAACCAGTGAGAATATTCATTTCAATTTGTTTTGGAATCTCGTTGAGCGAAGACAGAATGAAGTTGTGCTTTTCATTTTTTTTAATTTTATGCCTTGCTTCTGAAGCAATGCTCCAATTGCAAGTATTTTCAAAGAAAAACGTGACAGGTTTGAATGATATTAGAAGATAATTAAAACTTTTTAATAATTCGAATAATTCTGATCATTTAGACTGTTCATCTGGAACGTGCATTGATTATTGTGAATTATGGGGAGAAAAAGTTCTTCCAGGAAAGTCCAAAGTTATCGGATGTTCGGAATTGAGTTGCTCTAAAGATTTCAGTGCGACGATTGTCGGGTTCGTGAACATTCAATTAATCTTGAGATATTTGTGAAAATTTAGGAAATTTTGATTATATTTACAGTTGTGCTTTGCGAAAATCTAGTTGGTGCTTTAAATTTGAGGATGACTTAACTTTGCCATACCCAGAATGCTGTAACGCAAAATGTTTAGAACTTCAACCCGGTGCTACAAAGCCCGAGCATGATGATGGTCTTTCATAAATTTCTCACTCTTTTTTCCTATAACATTTCAAAAATGGAAAGCTAATTAAATAAAATAAAACAATGATTAAAAGAATATTTTTTACTACGATCGAATCTTATTAAGTTAAATTTAAAGCTGCCAACAAAATCTTTTCATCAATAGCGAAGGAAGGCAAAAATAATTTCTTTGACGTAGTTAACACGTTAATTATTTTAATAACACTAATTGGAACTTAATTTATTTGCTTGAAGTTGCATTCAATCCCGAAACCGTGATGGCATTAATTGATCGTTTCCTGAATATTTTTTTTTGATGTTGTAAATGTGATTGAAAGTTGAGAGTTTATTTCGGCCTAAATAAATCTTTTAGGAAATATTTTAGTGAGCTCAAATTTAGCTTCATTTTTTTTTCTTTTGTTATCAATTCCTAATCAGTTGTAAATTTACAATTGAGGAACTTATAAATAATGAAGAAATCAAATTTAAAGTGAAATCTTGTCATTATTACGAAATTTTTTTGTTCATTTCTGCTGACCTCGTATTGTAAGTCGTCGAAAAATCAGAAACGAATAAGAATATTCAGATGATTCTCCATCATTTATGTGTTGAATCTTGTTGAGTGAAGTCGCATTTGCAATGAAGTTGATTATTTTTATTTTCGTTTTGGTTTCTGTTTATAATGTCGTTAATGGTGGCGTAGCTCATTCACTTCCAGATAAGCAGACTGGTGAGTTGTAATTAAATTAATTACTTTTAAATTACATAATTGTTGATTCAACTTTCATCTTTAGATTGTTCTTCAGGAACTTGCGTTGATTATTGTGATCACAATGGACAGCGAATCCTAGCTGGTGAAGAAATCACTGAAATGTGTACGCTAGTTCGATGCAATGAAGATTACTCAAAGGATTACCGAAGGTTTGTAAATAACTTTTTATTAATAAACACAAACAATTTCAGCTTTCAGAGAAGAAGTTGTCGTTAAATTCTATTTTTAACTTCTCATTTGAATAAAAACGGCGCCAATAGAATTCTTCGTAAACATTTAATGACGTTTTTGCTGCTTTTTAGCAACTCAGCTGTTCTTTTAACAAAACATTTCCAGTTTTAAGAGGGTTAAGATTTGAATATTTAATAACATTTCTCTCTTTCAACAGTTGTGGTGTTGGAGCGACTGAGTCATGTAAGAAACTTTCACCTGATTTCTCATTGCCGTATCCTGATTGTTGCAATCGAGTGTGCAAACCCAAAAATGTTATTAAAATTATCAGAGATCAAGATTCAAATATTGTTTAAATTATGAATGCTTGAAATTTAAAATTAAATTCCATTTTAGATATTTTAATAAATTAAACTAATTCAAAGATTATTTTTTAAATATTCTTATTTTTATATTTTTGTTGATCGAAGTGGGAAATTTTTTTCTATACAACTCTCAAATTGATGTTGAGAATTATTTTGAAACCTCGTCTGAGGTTTTAATGGATTCCAAGTTTCTGATAAATTTCCTTCAATATGTTGTTGACTTCATCGGTAAGAAGCATAAACAAATTTCCCCAACATTTCCAGTTTTTAAAGTTCTTGACGATTCTCAATCTACAGTGAACTCTCTCAAAAATTCAATTCGAAAGAAAAACATTTTTTATTTCAATTTTCTTTTTAAACATTTACAGAGATTAAAAATAAAGAAAAATATATTTGTGTTGAATATCTTTTTATGTTTATTGTTTGTTTAAATAGTTTCTTTAGTGGGACGCAGTTTATCTTTAAATAATGGCAATATTTGTAGTTGGCAATTTATATATTAATTAATTCTTTGTATTCTTTTTGGCTTTGTCTATGGCTGGCTATAAGGACATTTAAGATCAAAATAGTAAAGAAGACCATTAATCTAATCTAGAGATTCTGAAACTATTGGAATTACTTTAGGTACCTCAGTTTTCCAAACAAAAAATTTTAAATTAAACTTCCTCTAGGAATTTCTAATTTCTCATTAAACATTTATTGCATCTCACGTCTTAATCATTCCTGTGTCCTCGAATCCCCTTCCCTCACCATCTCTTCATTCAAATTATCATTTTATTTAAAATCTTATCAAAATAGATAAAAGAAAGATTTCTTTTCCATACAAACTTTTTTCTCAAATATCAACTAACGTTTAAGTGCTCACAATTTTTGTTTTGTTTTCGGGACGAAATGTGTTATATGCTTTTATGTTTCTTTAGCAATAATAAATATCATTGATCCTCTTCAGAGATGATCCAACACTTTTAATATCTTTGTGATTAAAGTTCTTTCATGTCACTAGCCATGACAAGAAAGCACTCTAAGAAGTTATGATTAAATTTTCAATATAAAGTGCCGCCTGTCTCTCTTTTGATGTTCATTGTTTATTAAAAGCTTATTAAATGTTAAAATTACTCAACTTTCTTTGCTAAGAAAATTGACATGAAATTCACTTGTTTTGAGATTATTTTAGTTAATAATTTTTCAATGTTAAAAATGTTAAATCGATTGAATCCAATAAGTCACATCTTTGGATTTAAAATTTTGAGATTCGAACTTTCGGATCGGATTTACAACAGGAAAAAAAAGTGTTTTCACTAAAAAGATCTTTTAAACTCATCAAACAAACACTTACGATAATTTCTAGGGATACAAATAAGTCACCATCCAAATAATTATTGAATTAGAAAGTAAGGAAGAAATTTAACGTGATAAAGATCGCGGATGATGTTAGTTGCAGGCAACATTTGGACGACTGATTTGTGAATAAATGCTGCCTTTGGCAAGACCAATCTTTGAGCCCTTGCAGAGCTCAGACCCACGTCCACGTGGCGTATAGTTTCGTTCAATTCTTATATTTGGGTTTGGTCCTGTTGCTTTGACTCGATGGCCTTTGACAAAGTCAGGATTCGCTCCACTCCATGTCACGTAATCAGTTCTGATTATAGAAAAGAATTTTAAGAGAAAATTTTATGGATTTATAAAGACAAAAACTTACAACAAAAGTTCATCTCTCGGTCCTTTAGCAAGATTGGAATTTTTTCCATTCGCATTTGATTGCGTGTAGATTGACATGAACTTTCCATCCTTGGAATTTTCTCCACCAATTATGACCGACTTTGAATTTGATTCCTTTTTTCCAACAACTACTGAAGTATTCCTGCAATCATCAATCAATAAAGTTTAAGTTTCTTTTTGATTTTTCAATTATTTAAACACAGAAATAAAAGTAATTCAAAACAAACCACAGAACTTTAAGAAAATTATTTCCTTATCACATATTATCAGATTAAATAAGAGATAATTATAAGAGATCAAATCATTCGGTTCCTTTTCACTTGATTCTAGAAGATAAACTTCAAGTGTGACGAAATCGACTAATGCAGCCTAATTCAATGAACATCTCGGCTAAATATTTACAAGCGTGACATCAAATTTATGTAAAACTTTGATATTCATTAAAATGAATGACAGGAATGACAACACCAACAATAACTACAAACGACATGAACACTTATCAATTGGCCATTCAATAAAAACAACAAAATTAAAAGTTCGAAACATATCAGGAAGTAAATGAATGAAGGACAACCAATTAAACAAATAAAATTAAAAAAAAAATGTTTTTCATACTTTTCACTTCGATTCGAATCACTTCGAGCTTTTGATCGACGACGTTCAATCTTTTCGACGGGAGTTTTTGTCGAAGCATCGCTGGTCGAAGCATCTGATGACGATGTTGTCGCGTCTTCATATTCAACAGCAGATTTGGGCATTCCAGTAACGCCATCAGTTTCTGGACTTTCAATTGGTGTTGTTATGATTGAATGATCGCTGTTGATAATCATCGTTTCATCATTCTCAATCGCTGCTGCTTGATCCAAATCAATGCTTTTGCTACTGCTATAAAATTAATTTATGTTTTTGATCGAATTTATCAAAATTTAAAATCATAAAAAAGTTTTTTTTTTCTTATTTCATTTTTGGTCATAAAAAGTTTTTTAAAGTGAAGAAGACTTTTTACGAAGTGAAAGTAAAATAAAAATAAAATAAAAGAGTCGACAAAATTCTACATTAAAGAGGCTGGCAAAGTGCATGCATGTGGGTGGGCGGTTTAATTTCTTTTTGTAATCATTTTTTGTAATTGAAGTGCGAAAGCGTACAGAAAAAGAATTTTATGGCGAAACTTTAGCTTTTATTTTGATGGAAAGGGAGAGGTGAAGAGAATTTTCTTGTGATAGACGACAGTAAATGATTAAAGATGACTTACCTGGGCTCTTTGAACGAAACATTCTTCTCAACACCTTCACTTTTCTTCTTTTCCTTCTCTGATTTTGTCTTCGAGTCTTTGTCTTCTTGCAACACAATGTCGAGAATCTTCAAAGCTTTCTCTTCGGAATATTCAACAGATTCAAGAGCCATCGCAATGATTTTCTCAGGAATTGAATCTTTATACTGCGCTTGCATTCGAGCTTTCACTGAAATATTTTTAAAGTTTAATTAAAAGAAAATTTTACTCGAAATTCGATTCCTACTTTTCTTCTTCTCTTCAGCAGTTTTTGGCTTTGGTGGTGGAGTTGGTTGAATGACTTCCTTCTGTGGTTGATATTCTTCCTTCTTGCGATGAGACAATCGCGGTGCTGGCGTCATTTCCTTCTTCTCGTAACCCATACGTATCAAACTTTCCGAAGCTTTCTGAACGTTGTTTTCGACTGTCGCCAACACATCCAAAATGATTGTTTCTTCAGCTTTTGGAAACATTGACTTTAAGTATCTGAAATTTAAGATTAACTTTAGAATCTTGCAACATTTCGCTTGTCCTATTCATGCTACTGAAACTTAAGAAGATTCTTTTGTTTTTTGGAAATTTATGACAAAGAAAGTCATATCAAAAGTTAATAGAAAAATTATAAAAAGTGAACACAACATCGAATGAAATCATAAAATGAAATCAAGCTACAAAATTATGACATCGAATAATGTTTAAAGCAGACAAAAAAGATTTTTCTTTTCAACCTAAGCTTCATTTTTGGTGATGAATGTGGCTTTGGTGAACTGCGATATTGTTCTCCGAATCGTGGTGATCCGTACATGTTTGTAGTCGCATTTGTTACTGTTGTATAGAAACTACTCGAACTTTGTGGACGCATTGGAATTGGACTTCCATTTGACGACGATGCAAATGTCAAATGATCTCCATGTAGAAGATGAACACTTTTCCTACCGAAACTCGATGATGGCGGTGTGTTAAATGCTGACAATGCCATCGCAGTCGCATGAAAAGAACGTTGAACTGGTGGTGTGTAAGGGCCAGGAGTTGTCAAAGGATGCTTCTCAACTTGCAATGCTGATATGACGACCGCTTCACGATGATGATATCTGATTACATGAATTAGTATTTTATGTGCAAGATATTTACAAATTCCACACGTGAAGTTTGTTTTTTAGCGAGTTTTAGCAATTTTTTTAAAATTTTTAAAGCCCAATTAAACAAATTGATTTTTTATGTTTCATGAATGATGAGTGTTTGAGAAGAAGAAGAAAGAGTTTCGTTAGTTAAAGAAAACATTTTCATGTTTGTAAGTATTTTTCGTGCTTGTGTTAATATTGATAAAAAGCAATTTTTCGTCTTATTTCATATGAATAATTAATTAACTTACTTCTTTAAAAGCAAACGGATATGATGTTCACTTGCTGTTGGGAACATTGTGTTGATTTTAGCAACAGTTGCTTCAGTTTCCATTGGTGTTGGACTTGAAAATGATGTTTCTTGAGTTTGTTGATGCTGTTGTTGATGTAACATTTGTTGGTGATTTTTGATTAAACTCCCAACACGAGGTGTATGCGGCGAGGAACGTGACAAAGACGACATTTCCTTTGAATTATAAAATATTCAACATCAGCAATTTTTTATGTCATGTTTATGTGAAAATAGAAAAATGTGCCAACAAGGGGAAGTGAAATTATGACCCAATTACAACAGTAATAATAAAATCAATAATTAATTAGCATATCAAATGACTTTAAATACTTACAACTGCAGTATGGCTATAATTGCTTGTCTTTGTCGACGGAATTGGGCTCGCATTGATAGATTGACCTTGAGAGCTTTGAAATGCTTGTGCTGGATAATTTTGAGTTGGATAGACTTGAACATTTTTAGGAGACGATCCATGTAAATTCTAAAACATAATTTAATTCCATTCATAAGTTCTATTGAAGGATGTTTGGGAATTTTCCATTACTCACCTGCATAGGAATTGCGGGACCATAGACATGTTTGTATTTTATTCTTGGATCCTCCCATGTTGTTGTTTTCTCTATCAAGTTGACAAAATATCTGACGAAGAAAATGTCATTTTAATGTCAATTAAATAAATTGAAATGCTCAAGTTATGCTGGTTGCATGACATTTAGGGGCAGCCATGTTTGATAATTTGATTAAAAAATATATTTTTCTTCTATTTTTAACGATGCCAAGGTTAATATAATTTATCACACTTACTGTCTTCCACTTCGATGATCTATCGCTGATGTCCAGCCAGGAAAATCAAAACTAGAATCTATCATTTTCCTAGTTTATTTGCGTAATTTGAAAGCGCAAATATTTTTGTTTTTTCTAATCAGCACGTGAGAGTGTTAGTGAGACTTTGAATGGGTTAGTGAATGTGTTCGACACAGCTGATATTCAGCATCATATTCAGCTGCATTGGAGGTTTCTTTTTTAAAAAATTTAAATTCAATAAATTTTATTATTTCTGCTCTCATTTTCACTTTTCATCATTGGAATTAAAATATTTAATTCATTTGTCAGGACAAAATATAAAAGTACAGAAAGAATTTTTAGCAAAACTTGTTAAAATTAAGAAATAAAAATCAGACTTGAAAGATTTCCCTCAAATCAAAATAAAAACAAAAAAAGTTCTTTGAAATGGAAGATATATTCTACTGGTGTCGTGAAAACAATACTATACAAGTGCGTCTCTGGTTAGATGACACGGAAAATGATTTTCAGAAAGGGTAAGAATAAAAATTATTGAAATTCCTCAAGATTTCCTTAAATGGAAGTTAATGCGGGGTGTGTCGTAAGTAAACTTTAAAATAATTATTTTTGTTTACAATCTTTCTAGTGATGATCATGGATTCAGTCCTTTGCATTGGTGTGCAAAAGAAGGACACACAAAGCTTGTTGAAATGTTTTTAGCCCGTGGAGCTCGTGTCAATGCTACAAACATGGGTGAAGACATCCCATTACATCTTGCAGCTGCTCATGGACATTTGGATGTTGTTTTAATGTTGATCAAATCAAAATCAGACATAAATGCACAAAATGAACATGGAAATACTCCACTACATTATGCTTGCTTCTGGGGTTATCAACATATAGCCGAGGAGCTTGTCAGTCATGGTGCTTTAGTGTCGTTAGCTAATAAAGATGGTGACACTCCTTTGGACAAAGCAAAAGCATTACTTGCCAAACGTTTACACGACCTTGCAATTGAAAGTGGACAAGAATTGAAGAAGATTAGCATCAAGGATCAAAGTTGGCTTGGACTTAAGACAAGGTCACGCGATGCAACTTTATCACGTTTCAAAGGCATCAACATTGAAGATTTGCAACTTCATACGAAAGTTTCCATTAGTCCATCAGGTGAAACATGGCGTGGGCGTTGGCAAAAAAATGATATTATTGCGAAAATCTTGACAGTTCGTGAGATTACTCCACGAGTATCACGTGACTTTAATGAAGAATTTCCCAAGCTTCGAATCTTCTCGCATCCAAACATCTTGCCATTAATTGGTGCTTGTAATTCACCAAAGCATCTAGTGACAATCAGCCAGTACATGCCGAGAGGATCTCTCTATGATTTATTGCATTCAGCTGCTGGTGTTGTTGTTGATACGGCACAAGCGATAAGATTTGCATTGGACATTGCTAAGGGAATGGCTTACTTGCATTCATTGGAAAGAATTATTCCTGAATACTTCCTCAATAGTTATCACGTTATGGTGTGTGAATTAATAATCTTTATTGTGTTCCAAAACATTTATTTTCATCTTCTTTCCTTTCATTTTTTATTTAGATTGATGAAGACCTCACAGCACGCATCAGTATGGGTGACTGTAAATTCTCGTTTCAAGAACGTGGACGAATTTATCAACCAGCTTGGATGTCGCCGGAAACATTGCAACGAAAACGTGCTGAAAGAAATTGGGAAGCATGCGATATGTGGAGCTTTGCGATTGTTGTGTGGGAGTTAATGACAAGAGAAATTCCATTTGTTGACTTATCGCCAATGGAATGTGGAATGAGAATTGCCACCGAAGGATTACGAGTGCAAATCCCACCAGGATCATCGACACATTTAGCGAAGCTTATAAAGATTTGCATGAATGAAGAAGCTGGAAAACGTCCTCGTTTCGACATGGTCATTCCAATTCTTGACAAAATGGGATCGAAATTTTAAAAACAATGAAATGAAATTTTCTAAAACATTTTCAATGATTTTCTAATTTTAAAAGTGGAAAATTAACCGGTCATTAATATTTTGTGTTCACTCATAAATCTCACAAACAACAATCGAATTAACAGTGCCAACAGTTGTAAAAAAGAGAATCAATCGCAGAAAAGTATTTTATTTGTACTAACTTAAGTGCCTCTTGTGCTTATAAGCTTGTTTAGAGCCAACTAACAAAACTTTTTGTCTTCTTAAATGTGCCTAAATGTTTGTTGTAGTTGTTAATGATGTTTATTCAGTTACCAGACTTAATTTCTAAGTCATTATTGTTTATCCTTCTTTTTAATCAATTTTCATTAATTTCTTGTTTTTAAACTCATCTGGTAACAAAACAAAAGCAAAAAAAGGTTTTTAACTTATCAAATTAACATGAAAACTACATGAACCCTTTTTTTAACCATAAAGTTTCGTAAGTTGATTTGTTGTAATTAAATTTTTAATCGAGGATAATTATAAATTACAATTTTAAATAAACATTTTATTTTGTAATAAAAAAAAAAATGAAAATTTAACTCAAAAAAAAGAAGGAAAATCGAGTTTTTCATTTCCGTCCTTTGATTACAGTGTTTCCTTTGCTGTAACAATTTCTTTTCCTGATTCTCTGAGCATACATCCTCTCATCGCTGCAGTAAATTGCAATTTAATATCCACAACAGAGAATCAACCAACGCCGTCATCAAGCGAGAGAAAAACTGAGAGATAAGGAAGAAAATCCAAGAGAGAGAGAAAAGAAAATCATCAGGAAAAGCTTTTATTTTTCTGTAGGCATTGGGAGCTGTGGGAAAAATCATTTCGAATTGAAATTTTGGTCATGATTGACGCAGTGTAAGCTCATCACACGTGCAACTTTAAAAGAACTGAAAAACAAAATAAATAAAAGAAAGCTTTAAGAAACAATTTTAACAACATTCTCTGTCATTGCAGTGATTTAAAAACGAACAGCAAAGAAAAGTAACTAACAGATTACGGCCAATAATCATGCTTTAATTTCATTAATCATCAAAGAAAACTGTTATCGTTACAATTATAATCGAATTTTATTAAATAAATTTTCCTGACACTTTTCCAATTGAACAGAAAGAAGAAATAATCTTATAAACCTTACGAGTGTGTCGACTTAGGTAGTGGAAAATCCCTTGATCTGAATCATTTGCTGTGTTAAGTGAAACATAAAAAAATTATCCTTCCGATACGGGCAAGTCTGTGAAGCAACTGACGTCGCGAGGACATAAATTATTTATACTTACCAACAGATTCTTGCGTAGCTAAAAGTACTGAAAATTCGAGAAAGAAGATAAGACAAATATTTCCTTCTTTCTCTTTCCTTTATTTGTCTCTCGTTTCTTAAATGAAAATGTAGAATAGCAGAAGAAGATATGCCATAAATTTTCATCGTTTTTGAAGCGTCTAGATACTAACATACCTTAAAAAGAAGAAAAAGGACATAAAAATATTTTTCACTTCTCCCTTTTGATCAAAAAAGAAAACAAAACTTATATTTATTCAGTGTATGTATGTTGCTTTGGTGTTTAAGAAGCACACATTGTGTTGCGTTATGTGATGTGATGTGAATAAATTGTGATAAATGAAATAAAAAGAAGATAATAGAGAAGAGTTATTAATATGTGGCACTTAGTCTTGATAAGAAATCATAAAAATCGATTAACATTCGATTGATGCAGGGACAATTCGAGATTGATGGAGTCTTCATTGAATCAGCTTGAAACAAATGATACAAAGTCAAGGTAATTTGATGCTACTTACATAATAAAAGTCTGAATGTTGTGGAAACTAAGAGAAAGTTTAAGAGCTTTGTTTTCTCCTTTCTTCTTAATTTCCTTGACTCGGAGGAATAATGAATGGACGAAAGCGACCGGAAATTATGTTCAGAAAGCTGAAAAGCCAAGAACTTGAAGAATCGATTTTTCTCTCTAACTATGAATAAACCATGAAGCAGCAATCAGTGAAAATGGAAATTGCATGTGTGCATAAATGATGGAAAGGAATTTGTTTTGTTTCTATTTATTGATTATCTTTCCGATTGTTCTTCTTCACCTGCTTTTTCTATCCATCTGAATAAATAGAAAATTTGCTTTAAAAATCAATTTGTTGCTTCCAATTTCGGAAGAAGAAAATCAATAAAAAAAAGTCTTTTCACATCCAATTTATTTGATGTTTGAGTCACGCAACAATTTCGTTAAAGAAATCCTTCGAAATTTAATTTTTAATTTTCATTATGAGAGCGAGTTGATGTTTCCTGCTTTCTTTATTAAATTAAATATGTTGACAGTAGCGTTATGTATGCGCATTTCCCTCATAGCGACAAAATGTTTTTCCTGCTTCAAGGTTTTCTCGCTTAACATATTTTATATCATATTTCCATGTTCTTGTGCAAATTTCCTTGCTGACAACATGATGAAACAGCTTCATTTTCCTGGGGTCCCATTTCCACTTTCGTGTTTTCTCACGTGCTCGAATGCATGAAAAAGAGAAAACGTGTCAAGGTTAACAACGATATCCCGTTCCAACCAAGGTTCTCAAACGATGCTGTGAATTTTGACTGACCTTGTGCGTTTTATTCTTTCCTGTTTCTGTTTTCAAAAAAAAAGAGAAAAGAAGCAACTCGAGTGATGGTGCTACAAGTATGAAAAAATTTATTTTATTGATTTTCTTGTTTGTTTTTATCTCATGTTTGTTGTGCTAATGGAAATTATTTTTTACATATTTAACCCTAGAATTTATATTTGCTTTTTTTTCTACATTCATGTTAATATTTTATGAAAACGTTTCAATTCAATTCTCGGGCTGTGCGTATGTGACTTGACATTTGATTGTATGAAAATCATGAAAGTTTCTTTTATTTCACTTTTCAACACAAACAATTATGTTAAAGTGATTCAATTCTTCTCTTCTATTCAGCTCGTCATTGAACTCATTACAAATAAAGACTCAACCATCTCCATCCACTTCAATATCGTCACTAAGTGAACTATCACCTTTATCGTCAGAGATTGTTGCTAACAGTCCAAGTGCGTCATCATCACAATCAACGACAGATTTAAACGAAGTAAATTCAGCAGGTGAGTTAAAAATATCATCAAATCTTAATCTGTTGCGATTTTGTTGGTTGCGAAGCTCAGAAATAAAGCTTTCAACATTTACTTAATTAAATTCCAACCAGAAAGGAATAGCAAACTGAATTATTAATTGCTACTAGCAACCCAATACCCTCATTAGATGCAACGATCAATTTACACCTTTATTATCATAAATAATCTTCATTTTCATCCTCGAGCTCATCCTCGAAAGATAAATAAGCTGTGAAGAAAGATAAAAATGATTTTCTTGTGAAAGCTTTTCAACGATAACTCTTGTCGTTGTACGTTAAATTGAAAGGGCAAGAGATTCATTTTATCTCCCATTAGATAAATTACTTTAAAACCTTTTGAATTGACACAAAGATTCCAATGATTGTTTATTGAGCTTTGACAATGTCTCCTCGATGAACATCACACATGATTTTGTAAATACTAAAGAATGTTTAGATGATTTTGTGATTTCAATCCATCAGTTGAAATTGAAGAAAATCACTTAATTGCGTACCACTTGGCAACGAGATCATTACAACTGATGGATTTAAAGAGAGAAAAAGGGAGCTGAATTGAAGATTTCTTCATTTCTTCTTTAAATCGTGTCTCAATTGACAATAAGACACGAAGCAAGTTTTAGTCGTTTCTATTTGTTGAATTGAATCGATATTGAATCTTGTTCATTTTTCAATTTATTATTTTGAATCTATTATGAGCATTCCTATCTGTTTCTACCAACATTCTCTATCGTCACGAATGAAAACAGAAAGCTTATCGCAACTACTTCATATTTAATCAGTTCTGAACAAGTCACATTGAGAATAATAATTTTTCAACTTTATCTAAGCCGTTTGATCTAAAAACGTGATGAGAAGAGGGAGAACTTTTTATGCTGCGACAGAAGCCAGATGATAATAAATGGTTAACGATAAAAAAAAGAGATTTCGCAATTATGTCGTATAATTATCGTGATTAACTTTAATTTAATTATAATATGCAAAGTTGTTGGTGGTTCTTTGTACTGAAGACAAGTTTACAAATGGAAAAATATAATTTTTTCTAGCAGACAACAGATCAGACATAGTTTGCTTTGCTTTTGGTTTTTGTTCCTTTCATAACAAGATAGTTTTGCGGAGAAGCAAAAGTATTATAAAACGAATTATAAATTTAATTTGCAACTAGATATATGTAACTTGCTCGGTCTAGAGATTATAAAATGTTGTCACTTGCAGAGTGGAAATATTTTCACATGATGATTATTACTGCTTCAGTACTTCTGCTTATGACTTTGTTGGAAAACTTGGAGGTCTTTGTAATGAGTTTTATTGGAATTTAGTTAACTTAATTTAATTCTAAAACGTATGAAAGAAAGTTTGGTAAAAGTTTCTAAGCTGAAATGTGGATTGTCTCGTGGGCTTTTAGTTGATAATTTCAGAAAAGTTATTTTCACAATTATTGCACGCTTTGTTGACATCCTTTCGAATCGATTTTGCCAGTAATAGGAACGTAAAAATCTCATTTTGACGACAACGTAAAGTTTTATAATTGCCTGTGGAAACCTTCGCTCATTTAAATGTAAATTAATTATGATAAATTTCACGACATTTTAAGCTCCAAGGAAACCGAGACTGTGAAAGGGAACTATGAGATTTTTGGTAAACTTTTTCCCTTCCATTCCCTTGCTCTTCGCTATAAAACATTCAATTCAATTATTTTTTTTCTTAGCAACTCTCAGGTAAATTCGTGTCGAGAAAAACTTTTTATATAAGCATGCAAACAGAAAGAAGCCGATAAAATCTTATAGCAAAGAATCTAATTTCAGGTCAGTTTTCAATTTTTCGTACTTTTTCGATTACACAACTTTTTTCTCTTATTAATTAATTTCAAATGAACCGCTAAATATTTATATCGAAGGAAAGTTGTTTTCAAAATTGAGTTTGAGACTCGTAAAAGCCTTCAATTTATGAGGAAAAATTCTTATGAAGAGTTTTCTTATGTAAAGAACTTTGAAAGTATGAAAGATTATAAAGTTGTTGAGAAGTTCATGGGATCGATTTGTGATGCTAACGCTAAAATTTTATTTCCTCTTGTTTCGTGACTCGAAAGTTCGAAACATCGAATATTATATTTCAGTTCAATATTTCCTACTTAAAACACAATTTAAGTTGATTTTGAAACCAAGAAGAAAGAATTTCAAAGATTTTCCAGTATGGCGAAAAGTTGAAGTTTCTTCAATCTCTTTTGGACGACTTAAAACTTTATGGTCGAAGGAATTCTTCGTGCAATATAACACGATAATAACAACGACATAATGGTGATAAGTAATTGGAAGAGTGTTCCAAGATTATCGTCACCATGCTACGAAACACCAGAAAGAGCTCTGAAAATAAAATGAAAAGAACGTCAAAGGTGCAAAATGGAAATGAAATTTAATTGAAAATTCAGGTCATTTGCAGTGATCGTAAAATGAAATTGTTGCACAATCTCGAGAGAGGTCGACGAATGTTTTGTTATTGAAGAGGATTGAAATTCAAGTTGGGAAGTAAAATCCACTTTTGCACTCTAAAATTATAATAAAAAGCTTTGAAAAATACACAAGCAGCTTCAACTTTCAGAAAGCTTTTTGATTCAAGTGAAGGAGAAAAAAGGTGAAAATCCATTTGGAGTTTGAATCTCATTTATTTTCCTTTCATTTCATTAAATATTTATGCATGCGGCACATCATTACGTCGTTCCACCGATGCTTTCTTTCCCTTCTAATTGAGGTTAAAGAAAGAAAGAAAGAAAGAAAGAAACAGTTTGAGAGAATAAGATTGCACTCCATTTCTTATGAATGAATAAAATGTCTGTAAGCAGAAGAGAAAGTACATTAAATTAATTCATATTTTTCTTAAGAATATCTTCAGAACTTGTCTTCAGAACTTGAAAGAATGAACAAGAAAGATTGAATCAAAACAACTTTTTAATATGCTGAAAGTGACTTAAAAACTATTTCTGAATCTCTCAACATAAAAATATTTTAAATATCATTAAGAGAATTATTGAAATGGATTTTTGACACTTTAATAAACAAAGAAGTGAAGTTTTAAAATATCTTTTCACATTACTAAATCCAATATTGAAGCAATAAAGAATAAATTCTTAACATGTTCAACCTTCATAAAAAGAGATATTGGCAATCGTGACTCTTGCATTTTGATTGAATTCTTCAACATTGACAAGGACTTCGTGTCATAAATCTTCAAGTATGCTTTGTATTCTAATATAAAGATATTCTAATATAAAATGAAATTTTATTTGATTTATTGTCATGTTATTCGAAAAACGTCAAATGGTTAAGCATTTTGTTAGTAGTGATGGAATATTTACTGACATACAGCTGCAAATGATGTCATCAAACACAGTTGTTGAATTCTGTTCTGGTTTTTATTTTGATTTGGGAAGAAAATTAATTGATTGGAAACTTATTTTATTCATTTAAGGTTTCATTCAATACAAATCCTTTCCAAAAAAAGTTTAAGCTCGATAAATGTTAAAATTAATTTTGAAAGCTCATTATAAGATTGACAAAACTGTGCTTTTTCATTTATAAGATGTTTTATGAGGATTTTTAAGACTTTCAGATTTCATTAGACGTCATTCAGAATGCCATGTTCCACTTTTTCAATCAAAAATTCTTCTGAAAGTTTCAATGAATTTCATGATCTTAAAGACTTTCATAGAATTTATTCCATCCAACTATGTACTAAAGTCTTAATCTCTTTTTAAATAAATAAATGATAAAATGAAAGAAAATTTCTTTACTTTGCAATTAAGTTTGCCCTCATATCTTTTACTGTCAAATCATTCCTTGTCGACAACAGTTAAGCGCAGGTCTGCATGCTTCTAAATTATTAACGCTCATTTGCCATCAACAAGCTATCCAAGTTTTTATCCCACACCAATGAATCTTCACCTACAAAAAACGTAAAGTAAAATCCTTGGTTTCAACAACTTTTTTTACCTTCGCTTTCAAAGCGCAACCCTCAGGCGATTTTACTCAAAAAAGGAAAGAAAACAAAAATGAAGAGAGAAAAGTAAACGTTTTCAAATTTAATTTTCATCTTTTCGATAATCGACCAAGTGTAATAAATCTTCAGTTTCTCCATCAACAAACTGTGTTCATCTGTGGCCATTCCTTTAATGCCATTCAAGAAGAAAATCTGCCACACATATAAAAACCCATGAGCGAAGCGAAGAAAGATTACATAATATGAAATGCGAACCCATAAAGAAGAGGAATAGGCTCGTAAAAAAGTTCATGGCATGGCACCATAATAAGAAGAGACAATCGCCAAATCCGCACAGAACAAGAATTTTGTATCATCAAAAGTATTGAAAGTAAGGAGAGTCTTTATTCAGCTTCTTCTTCTTAACTTGTTATTTTTTTTTCTTTCAACAGAATTTCTTTGTTTTTGTTTTATTATTTAATAAAAAATTTCCATTCATACGGAAACATATTTTTCAATATTTGCCCGGGTTCATTGACATTTCGCAAAACCCAAAACTGCGACGACTCACCGATGGATGTTAATTTCAAACTTCGATGATGCCGTAAATGTTTAAGTTTTTTTTGTTCTTTTTTGACCAAATGACTGCAGAAAAAAGCTTACACTTTAAATTCAATTAACATTTACATATTTATGGACATGAAGTCATTGAGTTGTCGGCTTTTACAGTGTAAAGTGCATTGACATGAATTCATTCTAATTAAAATAATTCGTTATGACAAAATATCATTTATTTTTTATGGCTATGCTTCTTAACATTAATGAGTTCTGTCAGTTTGATGATTATTTGTATAGATAAATTTATGAGGGAATGTTTTATATTTTAAATTGCATTTTTTATAGATTAACCGTAGATTAGATTAACTATTTGCCTCGGTAGGATTGGAATCTTTTATCTCGACAAGCTTACATTTCAAAGCAACTCATTAGAGTCAGTGAGTGATGCGTACTTTCATTTATTTATTAAGAATAATTTAATTGTAGCTTGATGACAGGATATATCGAATACATATAGGAAAATATCGAATTTCTTGAAAGATTTGATTTAATTCTTTTTAATTTATAATTCAATGTAAAATTTCATCTATTCAACTAAGTGAATCTAGATGAGACTTTGATCGAGAACCTTGATTGACATTGTTAAATACACAACAAGATCAACTGATTTTCACGTTTCTGAATTGCAAATTAGAGTTTTATGAGAAGTGCGAACCTTGATCTCCTGATCCACAATGAGTCGTGTGTGTGCCTCACTCAATATGATGTCATTTAAAATCCATCTGCTGGACATGCGGCTTCGTTAGTCCCGTTCATTGAATTCATTTTGAAACAAAGAGTTTGAGGAAATAAAAGTTACAGAGAGATGGAAATGTGTGCTTGAATTTGTAATGAAGGTGAACTAAGAGCTACTGAATTCTGTTGATCAGCAATTTTAATCTCAATTGGTAATTTCTCAATCTGAAATTTTTTCCTTCTTTTGCTTTGTGTTTTATTCATGAGAATCTTTACCGCATTCTCTTTTTTTCACTTTATTTCTTTTTTTGTTGGCTATCGTTCGAAAGCACAAATGGTAAACGGGAGTTGATCTAAATATACTGTCACCGTCTGCGATGATGATTCCAAAATAATAATAAAAAAAACTCAAATTATCGCTGATCAACGGATAATTTTGGTCTTTTCTTCGATTGTTTCGTCTTTCTCATGAATTATTCAGCACTTCTCCAAAGCTGCTGCTTTCGCCAATAGCAGTCAGAATCTTTTCTGTCACGTTTTGATTGAACGGTTTACACATGAACTTCAATAGAAGTAAGGAAAAAAAAGAATTATGGAACTGTTGATTTATAAAGTGTTGATAACGTGAAAATTTCTCTCGTTGAAAATTGCACACAATGGAAAAGAACTAATCTCAACTCTCTCTCGAGGTTCTTTATTAGATGATTCCTATCCATCATCAGCAATAACCTGTGAAACGACCTTTCAACGAAAGCAGCGACAGCGTGTTGTGTAAAATTATCAGAAATTCTATCGAAGACTTCGGTTCCGCTTCGCTTGACTATTCACAAGCATAAGAGAGAAGATTAAAATCTGCTGATGGTGCTTTTCATTCCCATTTTTACTCAAAGTTAGACCCCAAATTATGGTTAAATATATTCATTACTTTTCATATTTCTCCACCCGAACAGAACCTTTTTTTTCTCTTATTGCTCTCGCTTGCTTTATCAAATCTCAATCTTCTTCAACTGACAGAAAATTACCATTGCTATCAATCAGGGTGACTAGGTTAAAATAATTTTATGTTCATGTTCGTGATGAAAAGAAACAAATTTTATGTTTCTCAATTCATATTTTTCTATAATATTCTAGATGAAACGATTTATGGAATTCTTTTCATTTCAAAGTTCGAAACTTCCCAAAAAGCACACAAAATTCCCGAGCGGCACAACTGCTCCGCATGCGAAGCTATAGGTTTCCTTTTGCGCATTTCGCGTAGCATTTCCATATGGCATTGCCACGAAAAATGCGCTAAAGTCTCCTTATAGGAAAATTCGCGTGTGAATTTTCCTACAAGGTTCCTACACGCACCTATTATCGTCACCACACGAACTGCTATAGGAAAAACTGATTCCGCATAGCAGTTTTTTGTGGCAGCGCATAGGAAAGAGTTCTCCGAAGCTTCCTGATTAATTTTATTTCTTTTATTTGTGCTTTAATTAAGTTTTAAAACTATAATTTAAGTTTAAAAAAAATATAAAATAATTATAGCAATTCATTTATAGCGTTTTTTTTGTTTTTTAATTTTCATCAATTTTACCC